TGGGGGTCCTTGGCACGGGGACCAAGGGACTGGGAGCCACAGGGCTGCAGGGCCGTGGGATGAGGACCAGGGGACCTGCAGCCATGGGACCGTGGAGCTGAGGCCCCCACAGCACCACCCCCCAGCCCCATGCTGTGTGGTGTGAGGAAGCCGCAGCCTCGCTGCTTCCTGCTGCAGCAGCTGCTGGGTTTCCTGCACGCTCCCGAGCCCTGGCTGCCCCAGCATGCCCAGTCCCTCAACCCCCCCGGTGCCCCCGGTCCCCCCATTCCCCTGTACCCCAGGGCTGGGCATTGGCTTCACCAGCACCAGGAACTGGGGCAGCACATGGTCCCTCCACTGCTTCTGGACAGGATTGCTGTGGGGTATTGCCATGGTTGGGTGGGAATCCACGGCCACGGGGAACAGCCTGGCCACAGGGCACAACATTGTCCTGGCCCTGCAGGCAGGCAGGGTCCCTGCCGCCACCCATGGCACTGCTCAGCCCCATTCCACTACAGCCCAGGGCCATACCAGCCATGGGGAATGCAGCACATCTGCCCTGACCTCCAGTCCTGTGCCCTGCAGATGTTGAGGACCAGGCTGCAGTGTGCCCAGGCGCCCTGAGCGGGGTGAGGATGCTGCCAGGGCGCTGGCGGCTGGAGGGGCGGCGGTGGCGGCGCACCGAGCCGGCTGTGGTGCTCCGCGCCCTCTACAACTACGCATACCGTGCTGAGGACGGGCGGCAGGTGGCCATGGCTGCTGGGGAGCAGTTCCTGCTACTCCACAAAGCCAACGAGGACTGGTGGCAGGTGAGACGGGCCAGCGAGCCCCGCTGGGCTCGGCCCTTCTTCGTCCCTGCTACCTACGTGGCCGAGCTGGACCCTGGTGACGCTGGGAGACAGAGCATGCTGCCCCCCAGCCAGCCTGCAGGCATGAGTGAGTGGGGCAGGGGGGCACAGGGCTGGGGCCATGGGGCAAGCAGACCCAGGATGGCAGGACACTGGGAGAATGGAACCATGGGGCACTGAGGTGGGGGCAAGGGGTTGGGGGCATTAGGGGCATAGGATGAGGGGACACTGGAAGTACAGACCTGGGGGACACATCACTGGGAGTCCCAGGCTGTGGGTCGGGGTGCACAAGGCTGGGGGAAGATCGGGGCTGGGGGCATTAAGGGCACAGGATAAGGGGGCACTGGGGGTACAGGGCTGGGAGACACCCATGAGGGACGATGGGGGCCAAAGGGCTGGGAGTGCAGGAGGTGGAAGGGGCACAGAGCTGCAGGCACTGGGAGACATCTGGGACATAGGGCTGGGGGTACCAGGAGCAGGGGGACACTAGGGAAAACAGGGTTGGGGCCCAGGGGTGGGGGTCTGTGCCTCCCACCTCCAACCCGGAGTATCATTTTGAGTTTGTAGGTACCCTCCTCTCTTTCCCCAGGCCTGCCACCACAGTACCCCTCACTGGAGAACCTGTGTGGCCCACCACTGACCCCCCCCCAGGAGGCCAGGCTGACCCCCAACCGCCCCGAGGGCTGCTGCATCAGCACCAGCCAGCTGACAGAGGGGGCCCTGCCCACCCCCTCCCCAGCCCTGTCACGGTGCCAGTCCCAGCAGGACCTGCTGGCCCAGGGCATTGGGGTGAGTGGGAGCCAGGTTGCACCCAGAAGGACACCCTGTGCCCCCAGCCCTGTTCCCCTCTGAGCCCCTGCAGCCTCACTGGTTCTCCCTATCCCCGCACCCCCCCCCAGCCTTTGCACCCTTCTTCCCTCAACCCGCACCCTGCGTCTCCAACCAGCATCCCCTCCCTGCACCCCTCCACCCCCCCACCTCCCCCCCAAAACTTCACTCCTCTGCATTGCCCACCTGCACCTCCCACCTCCACCCCTGCACCCCCAACCTCGCCTCCTGCATTGCCTACCTGCACCCCCCCAAATTCACCCCTCTGTATCACCCACCCC